TGACCACCCAGGGCCGCTGCCTCTGATGCCGCGATAGGTGTCCCTCGCTTCCCCAGGATGTGGGGCTCAGGTTGCTCCCACAGCAGCAGCCCTTTGAGGAGCGGGAGGCTGGGCGCCGTGTCATGTGGGGGCAGCCGGGAGGCACCTCTCTGAGCCCACCCCAGGGCTGTTGGCAGCGAGAGGAACAATGAGAAACCAGATGCCGTGGCATTAGCACAGAATTCCTCAGCTGGAACAGGGAAGGGCGGAAATCCCGGGGTTACCTTACACCTGGAGCAGGTTGGAAGGCGGCCGAGCCCCTGGCTGGCAATCTACACTCCGGGCGTTTCCGAGGAGCCTGCCTCGCGCGGCAGCGAGAGCGTGCCTGCCGGGGCCCTGAATGTGCATGTGCACGCACACATGCACCACACACCCACATGCATGTATGCATGTGAACATCACACATGCACACAGACATGCACTCGGGGGCACATGCTCCTCGGACATCCCCTGGGACACTGGCTCTGCCCCTGCCTCCACCTGAGAACCCGCAGAGAACTGGATAAGCACAACCAGAGCCACAGGCCACACGGCAGCTCTCACTGTCAGGCCTCCTCTCCTCCAGCCCCCACCCCCGCCCCCGCTCACAGAAGAGCACACACGGAAGGGACAGACGGCGTGTGCCGGTCCCCGCTTGGCGCTGTGCGTGTGTGCGTGTGTGGTCCCAGGCCCACACCTCTGCATCCTGAACCTCACATCACACTGCTTACGACCGGGTGGGATGGTGCTGCGCTGTCAGCAGCCATGGGCTGACTGCGGGAGCAAAAGCATTCGCTGCCTGGACCCCGTCCGGGGTTATCCTGAGGGCTGTGTCACTGCAGTCTCCAGGCGAATGGATCTAATGAGGGGCCAGGGGCTGGCGATCCCAGGGCAGCCGGGGGTAAGCTGTCTGCAAGGCCGGTGGGGGGATGGTCTGGCCTCCACTCCGCAGCCTCAGGGCCTGAGGACTGAGCCCCGGCCCCGCAGAACTGCGCCTGTGCTGGGTCAGTGGATGCTGTTAAAGGTTGTCATGGAGGAATCAGCGTCACTGCCCAAGAGGCCCCCCCCCCCCGTCTCACACACACACACACACACACGCACACACACGCATGCACACACACGCATGCACACACACGCGTGCGCGCACACACACACACACATGCACACACACGCGCGCGCGCACACACACACACACGCACGCACACACAGGCACGCACGCTCACACTCTGACTCCAAGGCATTTAGCTCTGAGCCGAGCACTAGCTGTTGGGGTAACGTGCCCTTCGCCTTCCTGGCGCTCAAGGCCCGTGCAGCTGGAGCCTCGGCCCAGCCTCCGTGCGTGCTGCTTGGCAAGGCGCTGGGCGGGAGCCTGGTGAGGGCTGCCTCGTCCAGCCCTGGAACAGTGGGGAGGGGGCGGCCCCAGTTGGCCTCCGAGGGACCAGAGGACGCAGAGGCGAGAGCAGGGCCCTGGCCCCGGAGACAAGGCCACGGAACCCTGCCCACTGCCCTGGGGACGCATGCTGACCTGGGACGGGTGGCTGCAGCCCAATCTTCATGTTCCCATCTTGGGGGGCAGCCCCAGGGCACCCCGGGAGTGGGCGCATGCCCCCCCGCTGCTGTTACCCCTGCAGAGGCGGAGCAGAACGCTGGGGGAAACGGCTGCTTGTGTCCAGGAGAACCACCTTCGGTCCTATTTCCTCTTCGGGGTCTTGCCCTCTCAGACGAGCAGCGGCCCGCACAGACCCCCCAGAGAACCATGGGCTCGTCCTGCCTCCCTCCTGCCTCCGTGTCATCCTGTGACGCAGAGCACGAGGCCCCAGGTCAACGGGGAGCCCACGCACGGGGTGCCCGTGGCAGGGGTGCCATGGCGGGGTGCCCGCTGGGCTCTCCAGGGTGGCCGGCGGGCGCTGGCAGTCAGTGCAGAGTCACCCTGAGACTGAGCCAGGAGCCACTCGAAGGCCTTGGACCTGACAGGCCTTTCACGTGGCGGCAGCAAGAGCTCAGTGCGTGAACAGCCCGGGTGCAGGCAGGGGCTCCCTGCTGGCCTGCGGTCCTCAGAGGAGGCTGATCCCTGAGCGGGCAGGGCTGTGGCAAGGGGAGTGGGCATGGGAACCTCATCTGTTCTGCCCTCTGAGCGTCCTAGAAGGTGCTGTGGGGGGCATGCCTAGATTCAGGAGCCCACCATGGGCCTGGGACGGGGACCACCTGGTCTCCCCTGACTCCTGTGGGCAGGTTGGGTCACAGAGGTGGCCCACGCCCCCTTAAATCCAGCCACCGCTCAGGCCACGCCAGCACCTTAGGGTCCTGAGGATAACTGCACGTGCAGGGCCCAGCGGTTTAGTCCTTGAACCTTCTCCCCTCTTGGGCTGCACCCCCTCTCCTGCCAGCTGCACCCCCTCTCCTGCCGGCTGCACCCCCTCTCCTGCCGGCTGCACCCTCTCCCCAGTTTGGTTCTGGCATCTGCAGAGCCGGCGGTGGCCAGCCCCTGGACGAGCTGTCTGCCACAGAACTCGACTCTGCCACCCGGGGAGCCCAGGGGTCTGATGGGACCAGGTGCCGCTGGTGCCCAGCCTGTCCTCAGGGCTCAGCAATGGCACCAGGTTGGGTCCTGCAGCTCCTGGTGACCTGCCATTTACCTCCGCCCCTGGCCAAGGCTCAGGCTGCCTCTGGGCCCTCGCTGAGCGCCCACCCCAGCGGGCACACCGCCAGCCCGGGGCCAGGCCCCAGAAGTAGCGGCCTGTCTCCTTCCGGCTGCTGGCAGTGCCACCCCACCTCCCCTTCCCCAGCTCAGCCTGGCAGAGGCCACCCCAGGAGACAGGGGGGGGGCACCGAGAGGCACCCCAGGAGACAGGGCTTCTTCCCAGGTCACCCACTGCGTGCCTTGAGCCAGGGGCTCCCGCTCCCCTCCATCACTTCTCCACCAGAAAAACAGGGAGCCCAGGTCCGCCTGGCATGGCCTTTGTGTGCCAGCCGGGAGGAGCAGACCGATGCTGGTGCGTGGGCAGCCTGCCAGGAGCGTCAGGATGGCCCTCCCTCGGCTCCCAGGGTGGCAAAGGGCATTCATACCCAGAGGGGAGGGGTGTGCTTAACTCGCCAGGGGCTGGGGGGGGGGAGGGGAGGGAGGGACAATTCACAAAAGCCAGCCAGAAACTCTCAACCGTTTTTTTTTTTCTTAGAACTTTCCTTCCCTCCCTCCCATCCCCCACTGGCTTCCCTCCCCCACCCGGTCGCTGGTGGCCTGCAGCCAACACTGGCCACACTGTCCGCATTCAGGCCTCCCGGCCTCAGCTCTCCCGGGCCACCTCCCCCGCCCATTCGGAATCACCGTGACCTCTTCAGCCCCGGCGATCCCCCCTCCTCCCCCCCACCCGCGGGCCTGGGCCCCGCTCCCCGGTGGGTCCCAGGAGGGCAGGCCGGGCTGTGGGCCCCCGCCCCCCAGGGAGACTGCTGAGTCCGCAGAAAGCTGCCTCCGCCCTGCATTCCGGGTGCGCTTCCAGGCCGGCCCACTCCCCCCCTTAACCCCTTACCGCCCGGGTCAGCAAGGGCCCAGCCTGCCACCCAAAGCAGGATGGGGGAGCTGGGGTCCCGCACTCCTGGCTGGGGAAGTGGGGCGAGCAGGTCTGGCTCCCACTTCTTCCCCTCATTTCCATCCACCTTCCCCGAAGCCCTCCAGGCAGAGCCTCGGCTGACCTGACCGGGTTCTGGGAGCGAGCCTGGCAGAGCGCCTCACAGGCTTTCTGGGTGAGGCGGGCCGATGCCGGGGAAGGACGCTGGAGAGGGCGGGCGGAAGGGTCTCCTCCCCCAGGGAACCTGCCCAACCAGGCCGGGGTGACTGGGAACACCCGGCCCCACCAGGCAGCACCTGGGTGTGCTGCGCCCGCCCGGAGGCTGGGGGCAAAGATCAGCAGGTGTCTGGCTGGTGGGACTCCGGGTGGGGGCCAGCCCCGCCCCGGTCTCTGCACGCTCACTCACCCTGCAGGAGCACACCCTCAGGAACCCCCCTCTCCTGGGCACTGCCTCCCCATGGACTTCCCTTCCGGGGCGCTGGGTCACTTGGCCGGCCTGCCGCAGGCGCCTCTGCCCTGAAACCAGGCCACTTGGCTCCGCAACAGGAGCTGGGCTTCCTCCCTGACACCCGAGCAGGAAGTGGGGTGGGGAGGGGCCCCCACACCGCCCGCTGCGCTCACCTCGGACAGCAAAAGGCACCTTCAACATCTCCATTTAATATGTACATTCAAGCAGGTAATGATCGGAAGCTTATAGTTTAGACATTTCTAGTAGCAGCAGTTTAGTCTATAGAGCTCATTTAGCCTTTTAACAAACGTTTTCTTTTCTCTTTGCACATAGAAACAACACACCCATGTGTACGGTATCAAAAAATATAGACCAAGGTCACCGCTATGGCAGTTCCTGGGAGGGGGAGGGGGAGGGGGAGGACAGGAGCGCACCTGGGGGCACAGAGCACGGGAGCGGGGCCGACAGGAGCTGGCCCGTGTGACGGGGAAGATGCCATGATCTAGAGAACTCCATAAATCTAGGCTTTCATATTCAATATATAAATACCTACAAATAAATATAGATATGTCAGCCCCACGGGGTGGCTGGGCCTTCGGAGCTCAAACAATACATTTCCATAATAACACCACGTACAAACGGGAGTGGAGTCTGCACTGGACACATTAGCAGGTTAAAATATAATACTATGCCTCCGAGGCCCGGCTGGCTGCCGCGGGGCCCGGGGCCGGAGGGGGTCGGCGGGGAGTGGGCCAGACCCGCAGGCTCCGTGCGCTCACACCGCGCCAGTTCCCACGGAGGCAGCCGGCTGGACGCCCCGAGTCCCAGCCAGACCCCCCCAGCTGGACACAGGGGGGCGCGCTGCTGCGGCTTTGGGCGTCCCTGGAGCCGGGGGCCGGCCTGGCTCCCCGGGGAGTGGAGAGAGGAGTCGCGCCCCCGGCGCTGAGCCGGTGCAGCCGTCCCTCCGGTTACACCGTCACATACTCCTTGAACGTGACGGTGAGGCAGTTCGCGGTGACGTCGGTGATGATTATATTCCCGAAGAAGGGCTTGAACTCGCTCAGCGGCTCCTCGGGCTCGTCCTGGGCCTCGGCGGGGGGCTTCTGGGCCGCGGGCCCCGGCGCGGCCGCTGTCATTCCCTCCGCGGCCGCAGGCGCCTCTGGCTTCACGCGGAGGCCGCCGGGCAGCGCCCCCGCCTCGCCGCGCGCCTTGACGCAGCGCAAGTCTATGGGCTCGTCCAGGTCCGAGTCCAGCAGGATGACCTCGGGCTGCGGGGGCGCGGCGGGGGGCTCGGCGGCCGGGCTGCCCGCCAGGCAGGTGGGGGTGCTGACGCTGCGCGCCGTCAGCCGCTTCCTGCCGGCCTCGCGCTCGCCGTGCGTCTCGGAGAGGCAGCGCTTGCGCGCGTGGGAGAGGCCGAGGCCCCCCACGTGGTGGTGGTGGTGGTGGTGGTGGTGGTGATGGTGGTGGGAGGCCGCGTGCGCGCTGCGGCCAGAGTCCCAGGCCAGCAGGTCGGGCTTGGTGGTGAGCTGCAGCGGCTGCTCGCCGAACGCCGCCTCCTTGCTCGGGGAGAGCTTGCGGGGCCCGGGGTCCTGCGGCTGCGGGTCGCCCGGGCCCGCGGCCTCCTCCTCCCGCCTCTTGAAGGGCGCCTGCGCCTTCTTCTCCTCCGCGCCCCCCGCCGCCGCCGCCTTCTTGAAAGTCCGGTCGGGCGGCGGGTGGCGCTCCTCGGAGGCGCGCTTCTTGTGGCCCGGGGCGCGCGCCTCGCCCTCCGCCGCCGCCTCCCCGGACTTGATCTTCACGGCCTGCATGCCGTTCTCCATGTACTTGCTCATCACGATCACGATGCGCCCGTTCTTGTTCTTGTTCTTGACGATCTTCATCTTGCCCCCTATCCCGTTGCCCGCCACCGCCTCCTTGGGGGCGGGCGCCATACCGTTGGGGGGCGCCTTCTCGGAGCCCTTGCCCGCAGCCCCGGCGGCGCCGCCGGCCACAGGCTTCACGGCCCCCAGGTAGCCCTTGGCCCCCGCCCCGTGGGCCCACTTGTCCTGCGCGTGGCTCTTGGCCCCCAGGTCCGGGCAGGTGGGGCTGGGCGCCTCCTTGTGGCCGCCCTGGTACTGCAGGTCGTACATCTTGGGGTCGGGCTGGTAGGGGTGGTGCTTCTTGCTGTTGAGCTGGTAGTAGTACTTGCTGCTCTTGCCCGGCGGCGGGGGCTTGCCCGCCCGCTCCTTGCTGTGCGGCTGGTACTGATGGTGCTTCTTGCTGTTGAGCTCGTACTGGTGCCCCTGGCCCTTGCTCTGGGCGCCCAGCTCCAGCTTGGCGCTGCGGCTGTCCGTGGACGAGTCCTGGAGTCCGCTCAGCACATTGGAGCGCCTGGCAAAGGTGGGCACCTGGGGGCGGGGCGGGTGGAGGGCGCGGTGAGCCAGCCTCCCAGCCCCCACCCGGTGGGCAGAAACCAGGGAGGGGCGGGCAAGGCCAGGCAGGAAGGGGGAGAATGGGGTGCTCAGGAGGAAACACCGCCCTCCCGCCCCCTGCCCCCTCCTGGAAGCAGCTCAGGTGGCAGCTCAAAGGGAGAGACTGGGGCGGGGCTCTCACCTGCACCACCAGCGGCTTAGGCTTCGGGCCGCGTTTACGATATCCCATCAGCTGCTCCTGCCGCTCCCTGGGGGCGGGACAGAGGGCGGTGCCGTGAGCCTCCGCTCCCCTCCCCTCCCACCTGCGGGGCGTCCCCTCCCCGGAGCCGCAGGGCCGCCCAGACCCAGAGGGAGCGCACGCGGCTCGAGGCGAAAGGTCGCCCCTGCAGCCGGCTGGGCGCCAGCCGGATCCCAGAGCCCCGCTCTCCACTGCATGGGCCCTCCTCTGCCCAAGGGGCCCCCACCCGAGGAGCGCCCCCACCTGAGGTCCCCCTGCACTGCCGCCCCCACAGCCCTGCCTCCTAGGGGGGCGGGGAGCTGGCACTGCCGCCCACAGCCCTGGGCCGTGGCCCTGCGCAGAGCGGGTGGGCACGGGGGCCAGGGAGGCGGACGCGGCCCCAGAGGAGGAGCTGGAGGCCCACGGCCCTCCGCAGAGCGCGGCGCTAATGACCTCATTAGGATTCAGGGAGGAGCGCGGGGGGCGGAGGGAGGGCCGTTCCCGGAGGCCGGGCTGACCCGCCGGAGGGCTGCGGCCTCGTCGGCGCGGCGGCCGGTGGCCAATGAGGCGCCGGGGCGGAGGCCGCGCCGCCAGGTTCGCAGCCGCCAGGTGAACCCGCTCCGGGCGGCGGGGCGGAGCCACAAGCCCCGCCCCCGCCGAGCCCGGCCCCTCGGTTTCCAAATTACCCAGTCCACGCGCGACGGCGGGTCAGAGAGCGCTGCCTGGCTTCCGCCGCCGCGTGGCCCGGCGTGACCCAAGGCCGGGGGGCGGGTTTCCCCAGCGCTGCCCCGTCCTCCGTGGGAGAAGGGGCGCCTCTGCAGCCTCTGCCCAAGAAGGAGCTCATTTCCGGGCCAGAAACCGGTCCTCCCGCGGCCCCAGGCACCCCCTGCGGGTGGGCTCCCCCCGGGGAGTTCCGCCGAGCCCGGGAGCCCCCGCTCGGCCTGACGCCGAAGTTGCATGACATTGCAACAGCCGTCTCCCCGCTCCCCGGGGGCCGTTACGCAACATGGCATCAGCCGCTGACATGGTTACGGGGCGCGCTCCCAGGTGGAGGCCGCCGCATCCCCGCTCCGCGCCCCCCCTGCGTCGCGGGGGGCCAGCTCCCCGCCGGCGGCTCCCTCCGAGGGCCTGAGTGTCCTGCAGCCCTCCCCAGGAAATAACGCAAAATAAAAACGAGGGCAGGGGTGGGGACAGCGGCGTGGCGGCGCTCCGGGGTCCCCCACCCGTCCTCCCTCCTCGCCAGCCCTTCCCCCTTCGGTGCTCCCCAAAACGGAGACCCGCAGCCGCCGGCGGGGAATCCAGCTGCAGCAGCTGCGGCGGCGGCGTGACAGCCTCTGTGTGCGGGGATGAGCCCGCGCCCTCCACCACCCCTCCGCCGCCGGGCAGCGCCCGCACTCTCCGGGCCAGGCTCACCCGCCGAGGAGCCAGTGCGCAGCAGGAAGAGCGCCCGCTGTCAGCCAGAGCCCGGCCCGCCCCCCAGCCCGCGCTCCCCGGGCCCAGGGTGGGGGCTGGAGGTCTCGCCAACTTCCCTCCGGCCCCCAACAGGTTAAGCTCGGCTCCGGCTCCGTGACGTCCGGCGGCTCCGCCGTGCCTGCGCCCTCGGAGCTGCCCCACGGCGCGCCGGCCCGGGCAGCCCCGTGGCTGCCGCGGAGCAACACCTAGGTCCTGGGGGTGGGGCTCCGGGGTGGGGCCCGGAGGGGGCCCTCGGGGGACCAGGTGCCACGGCTCCGAGTTCCCTGGGGCGGCCGTAGGGCCACCCGCCCTCGCCCTCCCCGCAGTCCCCCCCAAAACACAAGCCTCGCCTTCTCTCCCCGCCCCGCCCCCACCGCCCGGCTGCAGCAACCGCCAAGGACGGTGGTTGGAGAAGCCGAGGCCGCAGCCGTGCCTCCCGACCCGCCTGGGGGAGGGGGCTCCCCGGGCTCCTCCCGGCTCCCCCTGCCCCCCCTGCTGCGTGGCCCTCGCCCGGCTCCCACACCGGCCCCCGCGGCGGGCGGCGGCTGCGGGACGCTCACCTGTTCTGGAAGGCGATCAGCAGCCGGGGGTCCAGGATGTTCTCCTCGGGCTCCCACGTGTTATATCTTGCAAGGGGAAAGGGAGGGGACATGGCGTAAAAAAAAAATAAAAAAATAAAAAAAAGCCGAGCCAGCGCCGCGGCCTCCAGGTGGGAATGACATAAGGCCCTGCTCTGTCCTCCTGCGCCCACAGTCCCTGCGCGGCGGCGCGGGGCGCAGGGTGGGTTTCTGCAGGCCGGACGCGCCCCGATACTCCCCCCCCACCCCCCAAGTCAAAACAAACAGCCGGGCAGGAAGGGGAGGGCGGAGGAAAATGAAACCAGCGTCCCTCCCGCAGTTGTCAAGAATGTGAAGCGTGTCACCGCGACACGTCCCACCGCCACCCGCTCCCCGGAGCCCCGCGTGCAGAGCGGCCCGAAGGCAGAGTCGCGTCCCCTCCGGCCGCCCCCGCCCCCGCCCCGCGAAGACTTTGGAGGCGTTCTCCATTTGACCCCTAATCCCATCGCCGGCCGCCCCGCGGCTCCCCACACCCCCCCGAGGCCCCCGAGCCCGCTGTCACGGGCAAGCACCCCCCCAAATACTCAGCAACACAGAAACCCGCCTGTGTGTGTGCGTGTGCGTGTGTGTGCGCGCGTGTGTGTGTGTGCGTGCCTGCGCGGCTGTCTCCATCCGGTGCCTTCGCATTTTAAATTAAAAAAAAAAGAGCCCCCCCCCACAGCCCGGCCGCGGCGGCAGCGCCCTGCACGGGCTGCCGCCCCCTCCCCGCGCCGCCGGCAGGGAGGAGGCACACAATTGCATTTTCGTCGCTTTTTAATTTTTTTTTTTTTTTTTTTTTTTGGTTTTGCAATATGGAGCCGTTCGGTGGAGGGAAAGGGGAAAGGAGCCATTTTCTGCTGCACATCAGCCAGTGCCTGCGCCGCCCTCCCTCCGCCGGCCTCCCGGCTCGGCCCGCGCCGCCGCCGCCGCTGCTCCGGCTCCTTCTGGCGCATAAATTAGTGATGGCATTTCCCGGAGCGGAGCCGGCGCGGGGCGCCCGGCCCGGGCTCGGGCTCGGCTTCCCCAGTGCCTGCCACCGACCTCCCCACCCCCTCCTCCTCCACCGCCTCACCCCGCCTCCCGCCGCTCCCCCCGCGCCCCCCCCCCCCGGCCCCGGGTCCCGAGCCCCGCGCCCCGCGCCGCGGACCCCGCTCCCCCGCCCCTGCGCCGCTACTTACTTGGGGGACCAGCCTCTCCATTTCACCAGATACTCCACTCTGCCCTGCGGGGGGAGAGACACACTCCCTCAGCTTCCGCGGGATCCCCGGCCGGCCGCAGCCTCCCCACCCCCTCCGCGCCTGCTCGCGGGCCGCTCCGGCCCCGCTCCCGCCGCCGCGCCGCCCCCGCGCCGCCCCACCTTGCGGATCCGCTTCTTCTCGATGCTCTCCACCGCGAAGACGTGCTCGCCAACAGCTGGCAGCTCCATGGCCGGGCCGGAGCGCGCCGGGCGCGGGTGGCCGGCGCCGCCGCAGACCCCGCTGCCTCCCGCCCGCGCCCCGCGGCCGCCCCGGCGCAGGCGCCCCCGCTGCCCGCGCTGCCGCCGCCGCCGCCGCCGCCCGCAAGCCCCGCCGCCCCGCCGCCCGCTCCGGCTCCGGCTCCGCTCGGCAGACACTGAGCCCGGGCCGCGGCGGCACAAGAACTCATGCAAATCCGGCGTCGGCGGGCGGGGCCTCGCGGCCGAGCCGGCGTCAGGGGGCGGGCCGCGGCCCGGATTGGCGCAGCGCGGCCTACCGGAGCCCGGGCCCGGGCGCCAGGGGGCGGGGCCGGGGCGGGAGGGGCCGGCGGGGGAGGCGCGGGAGTGCGGAGGGAGGGAGCCTCGGGCCGGGGCGCGGGGGGCGGCGGGGAGGGAGCGGGACGGGGCCGGAGAGGTGTGCCGGCCGAGGGCGCGGTGGGCTGGGACGCGTGACAGGTCTCCGCGCGGCCCCCGCCTCCCGCCCGCGCGGCGGCCGCCCCTCACCTCTGGTTCCCAGTGTGCAGCGCCCGGGGACCCCCGCTGGGGACCACCAACGCGCCCCGCGCCGTTTCCAGTTGCATCGGATTGCGTCATGTGCGACGCCCGCCCGGGGAGCCGGCGTTGGGGGGCGGAGGGGGCGGGCGGCTGGGCGGCCCCCGCGTGCCTCGCCACCCGCCCCGCGAGGCCCGGAGCGTTTAGGTTGGCGAAGGAGAGAGGAGAGAGGCCCGGGGAAGAGAGGATGGCGCCCGGGGTCGCGGGAGAGCGCGGGGAAGGGACAGGAGGGCGCCGCGGAGCAGCCAGCCGGGCCGCACGCGAGAACCCTCCCCGAGGGGCTCCGAGTCCGGTCGCACCGACTGGACCTGCTTCCCAGTCACCTGCGGCCGCTCCTGGCGCAGGGACAGGATGTCTGCTTCCCCGGCATCGCCCGCCCTGCCGGCACCCGGAGGCGGAGGGCGGGAGGGGGCGCAGGGATGGCCAGGCCCGCTGGCCCAGGGTGCGGGCGGGGGGGAGGACCTGGTGGGGTCCCGGGGAGAGGCATCCAGACAGGGAAAGAGCGGTGGGAAGAGGCCGAGCTGGACAGGGGCGGATGAGGCCGCACGGAAGCGGGAGGAGGGGGGAATGGAACGGACCCGGAGCCCAGCCTTCGCCAGGAATTCCGTGGCCCGGTGCGGGTCAGGCAGCCCCGCCAAGGCCTTCCCGGGACGGGACGCCCAGGAGCCCAAAGTGTGAAGTTTAGCACCTCGGCCGCCAGACAGCGGCCCAGCTGGGGGAGCTGCTGCGCCCCGCGCGGTCTCCCGAGGGCGCCACCGGGGGCCGCGAGCTCGGTGGGGTCAGGTCGGGGAGCGAGGGGCCGCGGGGACAGGCCCGGAGGGGCGGGGAGGGCGCGCCGGGCCTGGAAGGACCTGGAACAGGAAGCTTGCGCAATCCCTGGCTGCGCGTCCGCGGCGGAGAGCCGGAGCCGCGCAGAGTGGAACCCGAGGGGGGCGGGCGAAGCGCCATCCGGGTCTCCGCTCCGCCCTCCGCGGCCTGCAGTGCGGGGTGGGGACTGCTGGGGCCGCCGCCGCGCCGGGAGGGGTGGGGTGCAGAAGCGAACCCCCAAAGCGTGTGCGGGGTCGCATTCTCCCGGGAAGCCGGGAGGAGCTGGGCGGCCTGGTGTGTGAGCGCACACGTGGACGCGCCACCATGTCACCGCCGCCTCGCAGTTCCTGCCGCGGCCCCGCTGCTCGGGCTGCCTAAGGCCCGGGCTCCCTCTCGGGGGTCCGGGCGTGGGCAGAGCGGGGCCTGCAGCCTCTGCTCTCCCGAGAGCTCCAGGCACAATCCCAACATTCCCGGGGTGGGGTGGGGTGGGGTGACCCGGCTGTAGTCCCGGGGCGGGCGGCGGCCCTGGGCTGCTATTGAAGGTGGGGACGCGGGGAGGCACGTCTGTCTTCCCGCTGTGCTTGGGGCTTTCCCCGCACATTCCAGGGCTAGAAGCTCTCGTTCGGGACAGGGTCTCGCGTGGGACATCTCCCCGGGAAGGGGGAGGGGGGTCCGAGAGGTGGAGCGGAAGGCGCTGTCAGCCGCAGTCCAGCCCTGGGCGAGGGCTGCGGGGTCTGCGGAGACCGGTCCCGCACGCCTGCGCCCGGGGCGGGGCGGGCGGACGTTCCCGGCACTGCCGGCCCCTCGTTAGAAAACCCCCTGGAAATTCTGTTTCCAGTGGTTGTTTCCGTGGCGGCCGGGCCAGGGGGCGCAGTCTGGGGCGTCGGACTCCGCGGTCCAGGCTGTGAGCGCTGGGCCCGCGCCACGCATGGCCCCTGGTGCCCCGACGGCGGGTCTGCGCAGGAGCCGGGCGGGAGGCAGGGCGGCTCCCGCGGCGGGACCGGCCTTTCCTGGAGCCGCCGGTGCCGGGAGGGAGGAGTCGCAGGGCTCCCAGGACTGTCCGAGGCGCGGCCCAAAGCCCCCAGGAGCAGGGAGTCCTGGCCGCCCCGGCTCCGGGCCTTTCCGCCGCCGCTGGGGGGGGGGGAGGGAGCGGGGAGGACCGACACCGCCGGCTCCCCGCGGCTCCCGGCGTGTATTCTGGAGGGAAGGCGAGCCCAGAACCCAGAACCCTGGAGGCCCGGCCTGACCTCCCGCCACCTGGCGGTCCGGGCGTGGGGCGGGCTGGTCCGGGAGCACCGAGGCGCCGCGGGGCGGGCTGGCCCGGAGGGGGCCTGAGCGCTGGAAGCTCCCGGACTCCCGCTCCCTCCTCCGGGAACCTCCCGGGGGCCTCCCCTGCCGCCCGCCCGGCCAGGCCCCTCAGAGGAGCCGCGGGGAGCGGGGCCCTAAGTCGGGATTCCCGGGGCCTCAGCTGGGCCCCTGCCTCTGACCCGGGACGTCCTGCCCCCGCGGGGAGCCCGGGCGGGGCCTGAGCCCGCGCAGCCCACGCGGCCCCTTCCGGCCGGGGTCCCACCGCGTCCGGGGGTCCCGCTGAGGGACCAAGTCTTCTGGGTGCCGCCCCGGGCTGGGGCCCCCAGGGGCCTCAGGGGCCCCGAGCGCGGCGGGAGGAGAGGCCCGAGCCTGTGGCGTCCTCAGGACCGGACGAGGCGGCCGCGGAGAGACCGGTCCCGGAGGGGCTGGTGGGGGGGACAGGGCGCCCCACACGGAGGTGCCGGGCCCGCGCCCCGCAGGCCTGGCTCCGCGGGGGAAGCGCGGGGAGGCCCGGCCTGTCCCGGCTGGAGGCCCCCGTTGGGCGGCTTTCTCGCCCGGACGTGGCTCAGGAGCCGCGGAGCATTGAGGAGCCACGACTCCAGCCCTTCGGCCCCCACCCCCTGCTCCCCGGAGCCCCGGCCCCCCTGTGTCGGGGAGGCCTGCCTGCCGCTGTCCTGGGGGGATCCTCTGGAGGGACGGCTTTGCTCGGACGGGCGCCCCAGTTTCCGCTCCTGTCAGGCCGCCCGCCGCGGAGGGTCGGGCTCCTTCGGGCGGAGCAGCCCTGAGCCCCGCGGGCCTCCGAGGCGGGTCCTGGGCGGATCGGGCTCCGGGGGCCGGGGCCCCTGGCTGGTTTGGGGCCGGTTTGGGGCAGTTCTCGGGGCCACGCACTGCGGCCCGCGGGTCCGGGCGCCCCCGCGGGACCAGCTTTCGACGCCGGCGGCTGGCCCACCCCCTCCCGGCGTCAGGCCCCCCGGCCTGCCCGCCCCGCTCGGTCGCGGGGTCCCCGCTGCCGGGACACGGGCGCCCCAGGATCCACGTTTCCTCCGGCTCTGGAGCCGCTCCCGCCGCCGCCGCTCACACGGCCTCCGCGTGCGGCGCGGTTTCCGTTCGGGGTCCGCCGCCCTGCGCGTGGCTCCCGGTGCCCCTGTGGCGCCCCCGCCCGCGGAGCCCACACACGGGCAGACCAGACCGCCTTCCTCCTCTCAACCGAGCGGGCTGACCCCGCCGGCGGAGCCGCGGCGGCCGGGCCGGGGCGGACTGCTCCCCCCGCCCCGCGCCCCCCCGCCCCGCGCCCCCTCTGGTCCGCACCCCCTCCGGTCCCGGCGCCGCGGGGGACGCGCGCCCGCGGGGTTTGGCGGCGGGGGATGGGGCGGACGGTGCGGGGTGCGGGCCGCGGCCTGGCTCGCCCTCCTCCCCCGCCCGCGATCGGAAGGGCCGCGCGTCCCCGCCTCCCCCGCTGGCCCGGCGCCGAGTCTGGCAGCGCCCGGAACCGCGAGGCCGCAGCTCGGAGGCCGCGTCCCGCCGGCGCGGGGGAGGGGAGGCCGCGCGCCGGGCCGGGCGTCGCCGGCCGATCGATCCCCTGGGCGGGGGCGCGGCGGGCCCCGCAGGCGGGGGGGGGGTCCCTGCAGGATCGAGGGGCGATCGAGGGGGCGCTCAGGGATCCGGTGGCCGTGGATGGCGGCCGAGAGGGCCCAGCCCGAGCAAAGCTCAGCCTGCCCGCCCTGCGGGCCCGGGTGGGGGCCTGGTGAGTCCCAGACACCCCCAACCCCACGTCCTCTGCAGGGGGCCGCCGTGGCCACTTCCGGAGCCGAGTCCGGCCGCCGCGCCACGTCGCCCCCGGCCCGGCGAACCCCACCCCCATCCCGTGACGAGGCCCTTGGCGCGGCCACCGGGCCTCCCCTCGCTCCGCCCTCCGCGCCCAGAGCAATGTGTGTGTGCCCCACCCCGGGGAGCCCCCAGGTTTGCCAAGAAGCCCCCCTCCCAGCCTCTTCCGGGGGTCACGCCCCAGGACGGCCCTGGGGGCCCGGAGGAACCCCGTCCGATCCTCCAGATCCGGACTCTGGCCGGGCTTCACCTGCTCGCTCCCGGGCCGGCCGGGCTGGGCGCCGGCGCTGCACTGGCTGCGGCCTCCCCTAGGGGGAGGGCTCCCCGCGGCTGGAGGCGCCCCTGGAGCTAGAGGTCCGTGCGGGTCTCCTGCGGGGCGGGGGTGGGGAAAGGGAGACAGGAGGGGAGTGGGGGCCCGCGCTCCCCGCCTCTGGCTCCCCCACCCCCTCCCGCTGGCTGCTGCTTGCCCGGCCCTAAACCAA